ATTTTATGGAATCCATAACTGTTTTCAACTTTTCAACAATATATTTCATCAACTTTTATTAAAATCTATTAAAAATATGATTGTTAGCAAAACCAAACATGGCTAAATCTACTGGTACCTTCTCAGTTATTTCATTTTTTCACCATTGCCCGTGCGCCATGTAATTATGAAACATAATTTTTCTTCCTTCAACTATGTAATTTCGTTGTAAGTAGTTATTTTTGGGTTTTTATTTTCAAATATAAGTATTGGATATCTGTGTTTATATAACTCTGTAGGTTCTTCTCATTCTTTGCTAGCAGTGATGGCTAGTTTTTTTTATTTTCCTGTTGTATTTTAAGTATTATTTGGAATTAACTTAGTATGAAGATTTCATGGTTGAGCTGAGGAGAACACTTTCACAGATACGTTTTTCGACTATATGGATTTGGTGCCTTGAATTGGGAATATGTCCATAATCAATTCCAATTTAAATGAAGTCCCGGATGCCTTACTCTATTCTGTGGCAGTTTGTATAGAAATTGAAATAGAAATAATTTTGTTCAAGTTGGGCTTAAAATGAAGGCTTTGGTGAACTTCAAAGAGTGAAACTGGGGACTTAGAGATGGAAATGAAAGTGATATAGACGGAAAAAGAATGTTATAGTTGCAGATGACAGATTTAGTTACCATGAAACGATTAGCTATTTGTGATAAGCTTATCAATGTCTTTTTGATTCAAAGCATACTTTATCTGAGTAGAGAAGTGGAGCAATATCTGTCCTCACTTACAAGCCGTGTCAACATCAAGTGGATAGTGAAAGTGATCTTGGGATGAAGCACAGCTACTCGGCACTGCAAGAAAGCGAAAAGAAGTAATACTTTTTCCTTTGGCCAAAAGTTAGTTTATGAAAACTCTACGAACTTTCTAAAAGTTTCCTTTACGAAACTCAGTAAACGATTGACAGTCTGAACTCTGAAAGATAGATTGATGCATTGTTCTATTATCTCTATAATATCTATGCCTGTAACAGTATTATCAAATCTGGCCTTGCAGCAAAAGGAATAATTTGAATCATCCTTCTTTTGTTTTAGGAATTTTCTTCACCAATTAGATTGCTTCTTCCTTTGTCAAGAGTACGGACTTTCGGTGAACACTCAATGAATAGAAGATATTTTCGTGTGGAATTATGAGCAGGGAGCGTGTTTGATCCTTTCTCCTAATCATTTTCTGGTAGTAAGTTGTAAAATTTTTGCAAGATATAGTACATAGCTATATATTGAGCTTATTATTTGGAGATTTTCTAGCGAGATTCATGAAGATCATCAAAGGAATGATGAGATTCTTGATGCGGTTAGAAAGTTGCTTTCTGTGATTGGAGAAATTATTGCTAGACATGGAGAAGACTTCACAACAGAATAATTTTATTCATCTTCCAGCTGTTGGAAAACGGAAGTGCAGT